GAGGGCTGCTGTAATAGAAGGACCTCGAGTGGGCACGTTACGGACCAAGGAGGGATCTTTTCACAGTTCCGTAAGCTATCAGTGCTGACTCATAGTGACCCTATTGTGAACGGCCCCAGTGAATCTTGGAGACTTGAACTCTTGATAGAAGTAGAAAGCCCTGTCTTTCTCCAGTGGAGCAGCTGGTGGTTTCGAACTGCTGAACTTAGGGTTAGCAGCCCAACACATAACCACTCCACCACCAGGGCTCCAACAGTGAATACAGTAACTTAAAACTAGTCATCGGGCCCTGACCTAGTGTCGTGCCTCCTCTGTCAAGAATCCCGGGACTTTTTTGGTTTCTTGGCTTATAGATGAACCTCCCAGGTGGTCCTTCCTCATCCCCACCTGGGTGTATCTCTGTCGAATCTGCTCTTTGTATAACTCAGAGTTAGGAGGTTTAGGGCATGCTCATTCACCGATCATAGAAAACCCTACTTCCAAACTGGATTACCCCCTCAGATGTGTGTGTGGGTGTGTGGGTGGGTGGGGGGCTCTCAACACATATCTTGGGAGGCACATTATTCAACCCATAACAGTTTTTAACTCCCTGCCCCCCTGGGCTTCCTCGGACTTGGCCCCAGGTACTGGGCTGTAAGGAACTGACTACGGACCAAGGCGGACACCAGCAGCCTTCTTTCTCTTGAGCGTTCTGTTCGTGTAAAAATATTTGATAATACACCCAACAAAGTATGCACTTTCACATAGATAAGCCATAACACCCTTTCTTCCAGTCGCGTGCAAAAAGGAGAGACAATAGAGGGAGAGAAGAGACCAGGGGTTCCTTTTTCGTAAAATTGAAATCATTATGTAGCTTCCCTATCTACCTCAGACCCTGGTGATGCTTTGGGTTAGGCCCTGGGCTGCCAGCCTCAAGATCAGGTATCTGTTTCCACAAAGATTTCACAGTCCCAGAGAGCCTATAAGGAATGGCTATGAGTCCGAAGGTTTGCAGGAGCTAATCCCTCGGACGTGGACAGACTATTCCCTTAAAGTGTTTTGGAAGCTCTGGTGAAACCTGTTCACCCCGGATGACCCTGCTGGTATTTGTGACACTGGTCACATACCGTCTAGCATCACAGCAACATGCAAGCTGCCACCGCAGGGAGAGTGACAGGCGAGTAGTGGATCTTAACAACCAGGGATAACGGGAAGCACAGGAATTCCAGAACACTTCGTGGTGTTCATGGGGAACCCCTACATGGACCAGGAGGTCCGTGGTATTCAAACAGAACTGTCGTGTGGTTGAATATCAGGAAAAGTGTGTGTCCGTGTTGTATCTTTTTATTATGCTCAATTTGTCAGCTGAGCAAATAATCTGAAAAGATGAAATAAAGGAGAATTAGCATTAGGATTCCAGGAAGGCTTATTAACAACCTACTGCAGCAGGGTTCCTCAAACGACGGCCCGCGGGCCACATGCGGCCCGCCGAGGACATTTATCCGGCCCGCCGGGTGCTTTTGCCCATTTTGTTTTTTTACTTCAAAATAAGGTATGTGCAGTGTGCATAGAAATTTGTTCATAGTTTTTTTATAAACTATAGTCCGGCCCTCCAACGGTCTGAGGGACAGTGAACTGGCCCCTGTTTAAAAAGCTTGAGGAGCCCTGACCTACGGTATACAGATGCCACCACCTTGCCTGCACTCAAAGCAAGGACTGGATGACGACCCTGGACAGCATGCAGCCTTCAGCCTGGGCCACAACCCGATGCAACGAAAGCCGTGGTCCTTGCAGCGGGACCACGAGCCCGCTACATGATAGAGAGAACCGTTTGAACTTGCCAAGCATTTCATTGTGTTTGGATACACGCGTGGTGTTCGTGGGAAGCAGCAGTCAGGAAGTCCATGTGTTGAGCACATCCGCTACCTGGATGGGCCTCTGGAGTGCTGAAGAGCAAGAAGGGTGGCTGAGCACCAGGATGCGCCAGTCCAAGCCTTGTTACTGTCAGTTGCCGCATAAGTATGTAACAGTTGGACAGTGAATAAGGACGACTGAAGAAGAATGGGTGTCCTTGCATTGTGGAGTTGTGAAGATGAGCAGGTGTCACGGACTGCCGGAGAAGACGCAAATCGGTCCTGGAAAGAAGTACAGCCAGAATGCTCCTTCGCAGGGAGGATGGTGAGCCTTGGTGTCCTCCGGAGAGACCAGCCCCTGGAAAAGACCTCACGCTTGGGGAGTCGAGGGGCCGAGTACAGGAGGAGGACTCTCAACGGGACCCAGATGGAGGGACGCGGGGACTGCAGCAGTGCGGTCAGACAGTGGTGAGGCCGGAACAGGCCAGGCTGTGTTCTGTTCTGTTCTGGACAGGGTCTCACCGGAGTCCGAGCCAGCTCAACCGCACCGGACAGCAGCAGGCCTCAGACTCCGCTCCATGGCAGGGATTCCGCTGCCTCCGCTTCGTGGGGCTGTTGGGGGGGCCAATCAAAATGAAATCATGAAGCGAAATTATCAAGCTGCATTCTCCTGCTCCCCACTCCCGACCTGCGGAGCCCAGGAACCTCTGCTTGTACTTCACAGATCTTTCCCTGGTTCTAGTACGGAGCCAGCCGGGACATCACTGAAGCCGTACGTGGAAAAAGCTCTTGGTGAACTCTTGCAGGCGATGGAAATTTTAAAATAACGTGATTTGCATTTTCTCATTTCATGACCCGTCATCTGAGTTGGCTCACTAGGGAAATATGATTAGAGATGGTTTTAACTCCCTACCTCCTCCTGCTTCCCCCAGGAACCATTCACTTGACAGGTCAGCTTGATATTCATGAAAATGAACAATTGTTCATCCACATCTAATTGCCATCGATGATAGCATATCCACCGATTTTAGACATGCGCTGTGTTTTGAAATATCCAGTGTTAGTTTGGGAATACATTTCTATGGGTTTTCAGGATGATAATTTGTCTCTAATTGCTAATTTAGAGACGATTGCTTGCTCCTAGCTCCATAAAGAAATGATAGCCTGAAACTAGATCGCACTATTAATTATCCTTCAACCTTAAGCAGCCATTACCAGCCTGATAGAGTAACCCGTCTGGGCTGGGATGCTGTGGCTCTCTCTGGAGACCCCAGGCCCTGCTTTGTCAACACAGTCAATTAATTTCTGGGATGGGATTCTCCCGCTTCCACTCCGGACAGTTTGGGAGAAAATGAGCGAAATCGCTCTCTTTCACAAGGCCCTTGGAGAAGTCTCCGTGGGCCTGCGTGGCTTTCAGGTGATCGGACACCAGAACTTGGAAAAGAAGCCACGTTATCACCAAGGGTACTCCGTAATGGGACTCAGAGTAGCTTGGTGTAAAACTTAGAAATTCAAAGTACAGTGAACCCTCGTTTATCGCGGTTAATCGGTTCTAGACCCTACCGTGATAAATGAAATTCCGCGAAGTAGGATTCTTTATTTGTAAATCAAATATTTTCGTAGTTAGAGCATAGAGGACATGAAAAAACACCCTTTAGTCACCATTACACTTGTATTACCCAATTTATTAAACGAAAAAGGGAAAATACAGTAAAACATTTTGGACGTTACAATTATCATTTATTATTTATTATATTATTTATGGCATCTAGTTTACAGTATTACATATTTCACATACAGTATTATTATACATAGTTTTTACAAATACTGTAATCAGTGGCGTGCAACCTCCACGATTTTCTTGCCATCTTTGATCATATCCAAAAGTTTTACCTTTTCCTGGATGGTGAGCATCTTCCTCTGGCACTTATTTTTATTGTCAGAAGGCTTAGAAGAAGCAGCTCGTTTAGGAGCCATCATAGGGCTTAGATAAAATTTCTTAAAAATCGCAAACAATTACAGTACACTGTACAAAAGCAAAAATGCATCTGATAACGTAGCTCCGATACGTAGCGATGCAGACAGAAGCGTGTACAGTATGAGCCAATCAGTGGCAGTAATGACAGAGCATGCGCTGTTATGCAAAAACCGCAATAGAGCGAAGCCGCGGAAGTCGAAGCGCGAAGTGGCGAGGGTTCACTGTATACTTGTTTCCTTAGGAAAAGATGGTTTTTCAGAACCACCTCATGCTAGAGAAGAATTCCATCAATCCCAAGGCGTGTTGAGTCAAGAACCCTTGAGCCTGGCAGGCTGTGACAGGAGGCAGGCCGGAAGGCAGCTCTTGTGCCACCTGCTTTCAGGGCTTGGAAGTGGCTGCCACTTTGATACTTCTGGGAGGGCTGGGACTGGGCCTGGCATTACCTCACAGCAGTAACTAGGAATGACTGTCAACATGAGTCTCAAAGGCAAGGAACAACGAGTCATTCTCTCCCCTCCCTGCGATTGCTCTGTGACCCAAAGCAGTGGCTTTCACAGCCACCCGAGGGACCACGTGACCCCTTGTCCTGCCCATCACCGGAGGACTTTGTTTTGAGTGATCGTTGTAGGTCTCTGGGAGCACCTGAGTAGCGAGGCATCTGAAAATAGACATTTTCTGTGAGTTTCAGTTCTTCGGTTAGAACAGAGATAAACTGTTAGAAACACTCCAAAATTCGCAAAGGGAGTGAATGAGTGAGTAAGTGGCAGAAAAACGTGTGTGCTCACAGTTAATTCTAAGTTGGCTACAACCCTTGACACCCTTGCGCTTCTGCCGGGGAGGCTCTTGCTAAAATTTCGTCTCTTTGTATCCCAGCACTAGACTCTGGAGTAAGACTTGGAGAGCTCATAGGCTGATATGAAATAATCATCCTCCCAGAGGACCTTGAACCAAACGTTGAACCCTTCCAAGCCTTGCTTTTTCCACCTAGAGAATAAAAGAATTTAGTGAGGCTAGTGGTTTGTGACCTTTGGGATTTCATGTCCTAAAACTGTTGTTGTTGTTGTTGTTGTTGTTGTTGTTGTTGTTGTTGGCAAAGAAGAGACTCAGAGCAAAAACAAATCCTGCTATGCTCTATCGCGATCCTGAAAGGCTCACCTCTTGATTCTCGTCGTCTTTTTCGTCAAGCTGCTAACACGTTCCTCGTGGTGGGCGGTGGCCCCTGGACTAAATGCCGTAACGCTCCCTCTCCCTCCAGCAGCCTGCCCTGTTTGTGCTCGGGCCACATCCCGCGGGAGGCTCCAGCACGCTGCCTGACACGCCGGTGACGCTTAGTCAGTGTGTGCCGAATGAGTGACTGACTCCCCAGCTCAGCCCTCATTTAAGTAGCAGAGCCCCATGCTGTGATGGAGACCTGGGGCAGCGTCTGTCTGTCTGATAGAGACTCTCACCCAGAATCTGTGTAACTAGTTTGATGGGCTTTGCAGCCACATCCCACACACTCCAGTGAGATAGTCTTTCGCCCACAGGACGTGTTGGGTCTGCTCATGACAGGTAGCTCTCAGAGAAGACTCCATCCAACGTGTCCCTGATGGATCTCTTGGCCCATGGTTTCTTCCCTGACTCCAAACTCTGTAGCATAGGGTTGCCACACAGATGTGTCTCCCTGGCTCCAGAAGCCACCGTTTCTTCATGCTTTGGAAGGCTCTCCGTAAAGCCAGCGTCATCCTTACCGTGGTCCCCATAATGCAAGTCCAGCTGGCATAATGCAAGTCCAGCTGGCTGCAGGACACTCACTCTTCCCGGTGTTTCTTCCCTATCGGTCTGTCTCCACCTGGGAGCTCATTCAGCAACCACTGGTGATGGGCACGAAGAGAATGGCGGTGAAGAGAGGCTGCCCTTTCTCCATCATTGTCGAGAGTTGGCATGTAGTCACTGTGAGCAGCACCAGTTTTATTACCCCGTCCTCGGCTCCTCTTACTCTGTATAGCACATGGCCATGTTTAGACAGGGCGATCTGGATTGCAACCCTGTGAAGGTTCAAAGTTGCCACAGCTAACAGGGCTGAAGTAACCAGCTGAGGCTCACCCACAAATCCTAGAGCCAGTGTCAATGCAAGTCTTTCTGAACTAATATGTCCCCAACTCTTGGAGGACCGCAGTCAGGGCCTCAACGGCTAACTCTTACACAGGACCTGACACCTCCTCTTAATTCCTATTTCTGGTCAAGCCACTTAGACTCAAGTGAGTGGCAAGTTATTCCTACTGTACTTAGAGCAGTGGTTCTCCACCTTCCTCATGCCGCGACCCTTTCACACAGTTCCTCATGTTGTGGCGACCCCCACCCCAACCATAACATTATTTTCGTTGCTACTTCATAACTGCAATTTTGCTACTGTTATGAATCGGGCGACCCCTGTGAAAGGGTCATTCGAGCCCAAAGGGGTCACGGCCCATGGTTGAGAACCGCTGCCTTAGAGTCAGGTGGGTGACAGAGACACATGGTTCTATGGGTAGTCCTTCCAGTCTTCCACGTCGCTCAGAAGTAAGGGTTCTGGGGTGCATATATCTGCGCACCCTGCCATTCCTAGGAAGCTCTGTGCAGCACCTCCTGCCTCTCCTCCCACCCTGCACTTCTCTGGGGATCTCAGCCTGACTCAGCTCTCCTCGTCCTTGAATGCCACTCTCTTTTCTTGGGATCCCATCCTTGACCTTGAGGCTAGAGGCCCTGACTCACCTGATAGCAGTTAGCTGGACCGTCGGTCCCTACGGAGAGCTTGCCTGCTCCTCTCAGACAGAGTTAGAGCGTGTCCTTGCCTGTGTCCCCCACACCCCTATGTGCCCCTCAGCTGAAGTCCTCTCCCAGAAGTTGGTGAATTCTCCAGATGCTGGCCCAGAAGATCTCTGCGAGCGCCGTGGCTCCTCGCCCACGGCGCTCAAGTTCACTGCAACCCTAGCGCCCCCAAAGAGCAGAGTAGAACAGCCCATCTTCACAGAAAGGCCACGCCTTTCGCCCTCTGAGCCACTGGTGGGTTCGAAGCCCCGACCTTGCGGTTAACAGCTGAGCCCGGAACACAGTTCCTTTCCATGTTCCTAATGCTAATAGTTCAGCACAGGGCTTCACGGGCTGCTGGTGACGCGGTTTCTTCTCTTCTCCCGGGCAGCTGGGGGAAGGCACACCCCCGGAACCGAAGGGGACGTTCGTGGATTACCAGACGACCGCGGTGAAATACTCCAAGGCCGTCGCCGTAACCGCTCAGGAGATGGTAAGGAGACCAGCAGCTGTCCTTCGGACCCCTGTCCACTGGCTCCTCAGACCGGGCGGGGTCTGTGCGGGAGACATGAGGGGCCTGCCCCTTATGGCCACTTTCTCCCGGGCCCCACCTCTGTCCTTCCATGGTGGTCCTTCTGGCTTACCTGTGGCCTGGAAGTCCCATCTGCTGAGAGTGTAGCCCGAAGGGAGAGCTGCAAGGGGGCATTAACGCTGGTTGGGACTTGGGCATGAAGATGGGGCAGCAAGAAGGAAGGAAAATGAGAATTAGGGTGGTGACAAGAAGGAAGATGAAGTTAAGAAAAAGACAAAAAGGCGCAATTCACCTCTCAAAGGTGTGCTTGTAGATTAAAATTACAGTGCAGGAGAAGGCATTTCAGAATAAAGCAGAGCAGAGAAGGTCTGATGGGAGCAAATGATGATCCTTGGACAGTTCTGGTCTTGCCAGTTTCCAGGCAGGGCAAAACTGTTTAAAACATGTTCCTGACAGGCGAAGGCCTATGATTTCCATACATCAGTCCCGCCAGTCACAGATTCAGCGTGGAGTGGATAGGGGTATGTAGAAGGTTCCTCTTGTCTTTGGGAACCTGGACGCAGCCTCTGACTCTGGTGCAAGTGACTGTCCCATCCAGAGGGGGCCTAGGCGGTCCTGTCTGAATGGCTTTGCCATGGGCCTGTGTGTCCACTAGGGGCTGAGCGAGGGCCATGCCGCCTTCACCGGGAGGCTGTGACTGTTGGTTGCTTCAGAGTGGCAGGCTGGCTGGGGAAGAAGCTCTCACAGCGATGCCTGCCTCAGAGTGTTGTTAGAAAGGCTGGAGTCGGGCACAAGCTGGCCCTTCGGAGAGGAGTTGGCAGGACAGGTCCCAGGTGGAATCAAGCAGCCCTCAGAAAGCCAGTCAATCCCAGAGGATCAGGGAGCACAGTGGGACAGCTGAGCGGTAACCCAAGGAACATGTGGGGCTTGGCTCTGGGGTTCTGGACTGCCTGTTGGGGTAGGTTCTGGGCTGGCCTCTCTGGACACGTCGTGTCTAGCATCTTAAGGCGTTCGCTGCCTTAGCTCCTTGGGTTGGGGGGACCCCACGCCCCGCATCGGGTCTCCCACAATCACTGTGCTCCCCTTTGGCAGGGCTGACATAGCCACTCCGGGAGCAGGCCACTTTCTCTCGGGGTCCGGCTCAGTGTCCGGAGCAGGCCCGAGAGTGCCTCCTGTCCTCACGTACGGAGAGTCATTAAGCGGGGTTTCTGAAGGCCTTTAAAAATGAAGGTCTTAGACAGTCACAAAGGGTGATCTGCCACGTATTGCTCATCATTCAGCGTTAGAGAAGGACTGGGCTGGGGGTGGGGTAGGGGCTCTCTTAAAGAGGAACAGGGACCACTTTCTGCAGACAGCCTAAAACTGGTGGCCCAGGGAAAGCTAGAAGCCAGCCTCATAAGACAAATTGAGAAAAACTATTCCTGTAAGACAAGAGGGAAAGACTAGACGCGTCGATGATGAAAGGGTACACTGACCATTTGGGCTTCAGGAAACCCTGCAGGACATTTGTGGCTGTCACCTTGTCGTGCTTTGGCACAGTTTCACCACACAGCTGCGTTCTCTGTGCATTTCTGCCTCGGAAGCACTTGATTCGCTCATTCTCCTTCACGATTTCCTTAACAGCCCTCGTGCCGCTCAGGACCTGGTCCTTGGCTCCTAGAGACCAGATCAACGCGTGCCCCCTCATGGTTTCTTTGGGAACTGCGTTGGGTGCCCTAATGGGCCTGGGCTGGCCGGAAGCTGATGGTGTCACCTCCCAGAGATTGGGCACTAGGGACCCAGCCTCCCTTCTGCACGACCTGAGCCCTGAGCATGGTGCCTGTCTCGCTGAGCGGGGAGGAGCCCCACGGGTGTGTCTGCCTCACAGGCCTGCCATGTGCAATGCAGCATGGGCTTTGCTTGAACCGCCCTCTCCAGCATTCAGCCCCCAGTGCCAGCCCCTGCCCCCCCACCCCGACTCTGCCGGGGGCTGACAAGTGAATGAACCCCTGTGGCTTCCGTGGTATTAACACATGGTTCTCATGCTTTTCTCTGTGTGTTTGTGTCTTGCTTGTTTTCTTTTTCCAGATGACTAAATCGGTTACTAACCCGGAAGAGTTGGGAGGACTGGCCTCACAAATGACCAGTGACTATGGGCACCTGGCTCTCCAGGGCCAGATGGCAGCAGCTACGGCGGAGCCAGAAGAGGTCTGCCACCTTAGGGCCCCTGTGTTAAGAAGTAAACACACGCGGATTCTCACTCGCAGGGGGTTCTCCGTAGCTAAACTCCCTCCGCACGGCCCCAGCCTGGTTTGACTTAATCTGACCTCCCCTAGATTCAGACCTAGTAATCCAATGTGTGCTCAAAGCAGACTGGCCTTTCTGAGTGACGTGTGGACCTCTGGAACCACCTCGGCGGTGGGTTTTCAGATAGGAGGACTCTGCTTCCAACATTGTGGCGGGTCACCTAGCCCCCAGCTCACTACCTGATGCCTCTCAGCACATGCCCAAGCCTGGATTGCTAAGGGCAGAGACACCCACTGCCGCCATCCTTTCCTAGTCCCAGTTAGCAAGCTCCCCTTGACCCCCCGGCCTCAGTTTGTATGCTTCAGAAGCTCCCAGAAGTCTTGGCAGAGCCAGGTATGGAACTTAGCCCCCTCCCCTGTTCTGAGACAGCTGTGTAGCCTGTTTCATGAAACACCAAGCACAAATCCAAATGCCCTGCCATTATTTCTGGCACGTAGGCACTCTATAGGACAGGGCAGAAGGATCCCTGGGGGTTCCAAGACTGTAACTCTTTGCAGGACTAGAAAGCCTTGTGCTTCTCCCTCAGTGGCTGTGGTTTCCAACTTCGGACCTTGCAGTTAGCAGTGCAGCACATAACCCTCGGTGCCGCCAGGGCCCCTTATGGGCTCCGTCGCACACCACCGAAATGAAGGACTCGCTGATTTCATGTCAAAGTCATGTTTACCGTATACCGTAGCTTTTCAGGTGGCAACGGCATGATGAAAAGGTTTGAAATGTGAGAAATGGTGGCGGCAAACTTAGTGGATGCAGGACTGCCACAGGCTTCCAATCTGTTAAAAACAGAGATGTGCAATTTTGTGAAATACGCCTGCATTGTTGGTGGCTGTCTAAGAACTAGCCTTGTCCCCTCCCCCAGTCTCCACACTTCCTGTGGACGTCTCTTGCTAGTACCTCTCTAACTCCCTGACTTCTTAGCCTCCGTTAGGACCCTCATTGAGTTTTGCCTTTGAATGCTTGGACCAATAGGAGTTGAGTCCATCGAGGTCTGGTCCTTCTGAGAAATGGAGTCGTCTTCTGGAAGCACATACTTGCCCCACCCAGTGTGGGTGGCACCTGTAGAAGGGGCTGGGCCCAAGGTGCCCCCTGACCCTCCCCACCCCCCAAGAAAATGAGCACAGTCTAACCCGAAGAAGGAAGAGAATGGATTGAGGGCCTACTGGGAGGATGATGGCAACGGCATTTCCTGCAATTGGCCCAGCCACGTACTGAATGCAAACCATGTGGGGGAAGCTCCTGAATGCATGGCTGTAAGGCCGATGGTTGTGACTTGTCTTCCCTTGTCCCTGGATAACACTGAGAAGCCTCTGAGTCACTTCGTGCCACCATATATGCTGGGAGTTAGGGCCACCCATATCTTAACCAGGACACTGGAATGCTGCAGAAATGAAGACCCCGAGCAAAATCACTCTCCAACGTGTGCCTTAGCAGTGCGTGTGAAGAGAATGACCACCCCCACATATATGTGTACACATATCTGTACCCATATGTATGTACACAGATATACAAGGGGTACTCCCCTCACCCCCCCCCAAAAAAAAAACAACAGAAAAAAGCCTCCGCAGGGTGGAGTTTTTGTAGGACGAATTTTTCCCGCAAGGCAAGCATTGAGCAACTCGCTCTGAGTTAGTGCACTCAGTGGTGTCACCTGGGAAGGTTCTCTCTGGTCACAGTGAATTTTTTCATAATAGCAGTTTTGCTCAACCCTCGTCGTTTTTGTGATGGCCGATTTAAGAGAATGGCATGTAGCTGTGAAATTTTGATTCCTGCGTGGGAAAAATGCCAAAGAACCTGTTGTGATGTTGAACACAGCTTACAAGGGCAGCACTATGGGAAAAACTCAAGTGTGCGAGTGGTTTTCTCATTTCAAAAAAGGTGAAGAGCCGATTGATGACAAACCTCGTTCTGGATGTACATCAACTTCCCGAACGGACAAAAATGTTGGCTCGTAGTGCATTTGGAGTTTGTTGCACCAGGTCAGACTGTTCATCAAGCTTTCTATTCAGAGGTTCTAAAAGATTGTGTGACAGTGTGCAACAAAAACAGTCTGATTTTGGCAGCAGGGGACTGGTTTGGGCACCATGACTGCACCAGCTCACACAGCCATCTCAGTGTGCCAATTTTCGGCAAAAAGCAGCATGCCTCTCTTGTCCTATGCACCGTACTCACCTGACCTCACTCCGTGCAACTTCTTTTTGTTTCCCTGAAGAGACATGAAAGGACAGCAGTTTGACAACAGAAGAAGTGAAGAAAAAAGCAAGGGAGGAGGTGTCAGCCTTCGAAACAGATGAGTTTGAAAAGTGTTTTCCAAGAATGGGATGGCAGATCTGAGAAGTGTATTCAGTGTAGTGGAGAGTACTTTGAAGGTGATCGGGTTGTTTTGTAAAGAAATTGAAATACATAGCTCTGAAAAAAGAACTCTAGCTTTTGGGGGGTACCCCCTTTGTGTGTGTGTAGTGGGATTACTTCAGTGCCTGTGTTTTGAAACTAAAGAATGAATAGGTTGCAGCATGAATAACTCTGTAACGAATGTGTGTCCTCTCTACCAAGGAAAGGCAGTTAGCAAAGAGCTGCTTCGGGACTTGTGTGGCTTTTTGTTTTTTAATGCAAGCCCACCCCTTTCTTTTCCTTTTAAGTAGACTGGCTGTTTTGGGAAGGTTGTGTAAGTTCGTCAGGCACTTGGATACCAAGGAGTTTTTATTTTCGTAAGCAAGAGCATGGGAAATTGCAGCAGTCAGGAAACGTTTGGACAAAAGGAGAGGAGTGTTTGCTCTGGGAGGGGCTTGATCCCAGAAAGAGGCTGTGATTCTGAGCGAGGCTGCTGGTGCCTGTTTGTTGAAACGCTGGCCCACCTGAGTGACCACGTGGGGACTCGATGGCCTGTGGGCAGCTCATCCCAGTTCTCACACCATGGCCGCCCCTCCCTCACGCGAAGGGAGCAGGTCTCCGGACTGCAGCCCAGGCTGCTGACGCCAAATAGAAAATGATGCAAGGGCAGCCGGGAGAGAAAGGCGTGGCTAGACAGCGCCGTGGCCGGTTGCTGCTTCAGCCATTGGCTGTCCACCTGTGGGAGCTGGTGTTTGCGGTGAGGTTTTCCCTCTCCACCGTTACATCTTTCTTCCAGTGAATTCGTGGTTGAACATCGACCCAAGGGCGGTGGAAAGGGCAGGGAGAGTCTAGAATGACCTGTGGCTGGCCTAGGAACAGTCTGGCTGAGCATTTTCCAGACAGATAGTGTGGGGGTCGGGTTAGGCTTAGAAACGGAGAAGCGGTGTGGTTGTCTCTGCCGAGACCCTGGGATCACGTGTCTAGCCCGGAGAGCCTCACAGCAGAGCGTGCGTGAAAATAGTTGTACCGGGGCCAACGACGCAGTTCCCGGGCTGCGGCCTGCTGTGCTGAGTCCGCGTTTTGGACTTTCCCGGACCGTGACGACAGAAGAGCCCCTGGCTCAGCGTCTGAGCATTGGCAGAACCGTAGGCACGTCCTTCCCAGGGAAATGCAACCCCCACCCCCCCTTGTTTTTAACAACACTGTGAAGAAAATGGGCCGGACAGTAAAAACCCTCTAGCAATTGTGCCGACTGAAGATGAGTCCTTGTTACGTTTTGTTAAAGGGAGACGTTTAGATCCTGTGAGCCTCCACTCCTAAGTGCAAATCCTGAAGAAAAGCTACACCTTTGCCCGGAGGAAAACTGGCTGGAACCACTCAGAATAGCGAATGCCTTAAATCTGGTCGGGGCATTTGCCGCAGCCCGCGTGGTGAGAACCACAGCCCATTCCCCCAATGTGAGGGGTGTCGGCGCTAGCGCTTTCCAAAGCTTTCCAATACACACCTTCCGTAGTTGGGAGAGCTGGACTGCTGCTGTGTGTCCACTGCCACTCCCCACCCCCACCGCCTTTTGTCTTCTCTAAGGAGGAGCCATCCTGTCTGTCACAAATCTTTGTTGTTACCTGCTGAGCGTTGACAGGTCAGTCCAGGCAAAACCATATTTGATCTGCTGCAAAGCTGGTTGGTCTAAGACTGGAGACGCCCCAGCAAAAGATCCGAGTCCGTTTTGTTTAGCTGTGTGCCACAGGGCAAAGGCTTGGTGTTTCTTAAACTCCTGCCGAGGAAATTTGATCTGAAACTTTCTTGTTTCCCTCAAGGCAGAAACCCGGAGACAACTTCCCCCCTCTGATTTTAGCCAAGAGACAGGAACTAAAGGTTTCCTCGAGGTTCAAGTAATGCTGATGTTGCCGGTTAAACACCACAAGCTGTTTATGCCTTTGATCAAAATGTGCTTCCTAATAGACAGGGGCGTTGATGGTAGTTAGATGCCCACCTGGGGTCACCCTATTCGCTGAGATGTGCAGTGCTGCGACAAGCAGGTGGGCAGGTTAGGCCCCCCCTACTGCTCCATGGTCAGCATCTCCTTCCCTTTCTAGAATGTCCCTCGGATAATGCAAACTGACCTGGCCAGTCAAGCGTGCTGGTTCGGTTGGCCCTCTCTGTGAGTGCCCCAGGTCCACAGCCAATGTTAGACACCTGCCGGGAGACCTCAGTGCCCCCGTCCCACCGTGCAGTGTCCGACACAGCAATCCATTCTTCTTCCCTGTTGCTTAGATCACCCAAGAGTGCCTCTCTGTGGCAGTGAGCACTGTAGCCACTTTCAATAACTGTGGGGAACAGGTGATGGATTTAAGTACATCGGTGAACGAGTAAATATACGATGGCTTTCCGTGCACCTTTTTAATCTCTTCATCGTTTCAGGCAGGTGAGGAACTAAAGGCCCCACGAAACTTGCTCATAGAGTTCAGTAGCCAGGAGAAGACAGAGTCAGCGGACAGGCCCCTGGTCCTCTCTGCCACCCCAGCTGCCCATGTGGGTGATGGGCAAGAACAAGTGTAGGACTGGCCCTGGTGCCTGGGCCCGTCCCTCCTGTTACCGTCAGCCCTCTGAGCTGTGAGAATAAGTGAGTGAAAACAATTCGAACGTGTTCTTGGTCATACGAAGCCCCTTCTGCATGCGGTCCAAGAAGGCTCTCGCCCTTGAATGTGTAAGAGGCTGCATGGCCAAGCCTCAAGCCCTGCAGGTCCCTATACGCTATGGCCTGACAGACTCATCTGTTGGGCAAAGCCCTGGAAGAAGAATTCCGAGGACTCTTGCAATCACAGCTTTATTTTTATCTCGTCCTTCCCTGGTGCTGGTTCGTCTTAAGAGTTCCCTAACAGGAATGTCATCCCCAAGAACATCTGTGGCCGCCCGCCTGCTGTTGGGTTTATAGAATCCCGTATTGCATGGAGTAACCTTGGTGGTGGTGTGGTTATACGTTGGACTTCTAACCCTCAGGTCGGCAGTTTGAAACCACCAGATGCTTTCTGCTCCCATAAAGAGTTACAGTCTTGACTCCTGTCCTCTAGGGTCACTATGAGTTGGAATTGACTCGATGGCAGAGTTGCGTTGGGTTGGCTGGTACAAGTGGCCCCTGCCCTTGGCTTCCAAGGTGGCTAAAGTGGCCAATGAAAAACCCAAAGCTGTTCATGTCTTTGAGCAAGATGTCCCTCATATTAGGCAGTGGACTGGTTGTAAGTTGGATCACCCTTTGAGCTGGTCCCATTTGCTGATTTTAGCGCTCTAAAGTTGAGTCTGCCCAGAGGTGCCTTGGAAGAAAGGCGTGGCAACCATCTTCCCCAAGATGAGCCATGGGAAACCCTGTGAAGTACAGTTCTGCTCTGACATGCTTGGGTTGCCTGAATCAGAATCCACAATTACTGGTTTCTGGAGTGTTTGGGGTTTTTCCCCTGCATGCATCACATACACTACCACCCTACCACCCCCAACAAGTGTCTGAACAGCACACCGGCATGTTTCCATAGCACTGCCTCTTGAGTGGGGGCTACGGGACCATGCGAGTGTTGTTGAGGGGCATTCCACCATTTATCATGCCTGCCCGTGGGTGTCAGGTTGGAGACTGCTCGGCAGGACCCCCACCCCAGGGTGATTTCTGAGGCCTGTGTGTCCCAGTGTCCTGTCGCTCTGCAGACAGGAAGCCCGGGCTCTCCTCCGTGCAGGCAGCAGGAGGATATGCTCGGAGTGCTGTTTTAGAGCCCGGGTGTTGCTGGCATGATGCTTTCAAACCACCTTCTTCAGAACCCTGGCCCAGGAAGGCGTTGACGGTTCTGCATACGTTTGATTTGAGGCTTCTTTAAGAAACAGACTTTTCGGTAAGCATACATGGACTCATGAGCGTGCCCTAGGCCAAGTGTTACCTGCCAGGAGCCACCAGTGCACGAGCCCAAGGAGCCGCAGGTGGGGTCACAGTTGAGCGCTCCGCTTCGGCCTGAAAGTCCGTGGCTGGGACCTACCCAGTGGCACCCAGGTGGGCGGCCTGCTCTCATGAAGACTTCAGCCTGGGAAACCCTGGGAGGCAGGTCTGCGCTGTCACAGAGTCGCAATCACTCGGAAACCAACCAAGGGCACCGAGCAGCAGTGCACTACGCCGGCTGCTGGGGTGCGGACCCCAGGCTGCTGCTGTGGCTGTGTGGTGCCATTGCAGAGAGGGTTCCCTTTTGCTGTTATTTGCAAATGGCTGGGTCTTCTCAATGGAGCCCTCGTGCCAGAGTGGTTGTGCATTGGGCTGCTAACTGCAAGGTCAGCCGTTTGAAACCCCCCAATGGCTCCATGGGAGCAAGATGGGACTTTCTACTCCTATAAAGAGTGAGTCTCAAAAACCCACAGGGGCAGTTCCACCTATCCGATAGGATTGCCGTGAGTTGGCACCAACTGGATGGCAGTGATTGCAATTTGGGGTTTGTTTGTTTGTTTGTTTGTTTGTTTGTGGGTAGGGGGTTCCTCACAGTGCCACCCAAAATACATAAATAAATGAGAAGTCAGCCTGTTAGGCAAGCCCCTGACCATCAGCATGCCCATCTTCAAAAGATGGGCCACTGAGTCCAATTGTTGACTTCTTAGTGAGTCCAGGGTGAGGTACGGTTTAAATGAGGAGGACACGAGTAACATTTCTGTTCTACATGTAGAGCTTCCACTTGAGGACAAGAGGGTTCTGCTCAGCAGAGGGAAAGACCAGGTAGAAGAGCGTGGGAGGAGCAGTGTGTTGGGGATTGAAGGCCTGCTTGCTTGGGAGTGGTTGTGTGTGACTACCACTTCCCCGGGCCTTAGTCTCTCCATCTGTCCAATGGGAAGGCTGAACCAGTAAGGTCTTATTTTGAACTCCTTAGACCTGCCTTCCATTGCCACCTCCCCTGGCTTTCCCAGCACGCCCTAACCTTTAGAGACCTGTGGGCACCACTCCCTGCAGAGCGCTAGCCTGTGGGTTGACATTGGCCCCTGGATCCGGCTCATGCTGTGTTAGGGTGGACCTGTGCTCCAGGAGGCTTGTCAGGGGCTGCTCTTTCTGAAGTCGGTCACCAGGCCGGCCTTCTGAGGTGCCACGGGGTAGACTCCAACCTTTGAGGCAGCAGCAGAACCCCCTGGCCAGTTTCACCTCTGGGGACTGGCCCTTGACTGCCTAGGGTGAACGTATACAGATCTCAACGGACTTGAGGGCCAGATTGAGTTGGAAACGTGGCCGGGGCATCTTGACCTTGTTTTTGTACCAACGATCATGTCCAGCAAACAGGTATGTGGAGTCAGCCTGCTGGGAGGAGCTTTGGCAGCACCCAGTGTCCAACTAAAGGCATTCCAAAGAGCAGCCGCTCAACGGCTCAAGGGACATTTCCCCTACGTGCATTCCATATTTCATGGACTCGGGCCTTCCGACGGCCTCTAATCAGACGGTCCTTTCCGGATAAGCCAGAAAGAGCATCTGCCGTCCCCAGGACCCGAGTCCCCAAAGGCTTCCAGGTTTTACCCACAGCCCCCGAGACTGTCCCAAACAGCTGCTTGGGCGATGCTGGCAGAAGCCAGCCACGGTTTCTAGCTTGGTGGAGTGGTGGAGTCTTAAAAATGCCCCCATTGCCCTGTGATGGATTTGGGGGTTTACTTGCATACTTGAAGTGGAGAGTAGAGTATTTAGAGGTGCTGTACTTATCAGACCAAAATGAAAATTGGCCTGGAGCAGAGCCAGAGGCGTGCACTTGTAGGAGGTGGGGGTGGCATGTGCTACCCCTTAAAGGAGACAGCCGGCAGCCCAGCCGCGTGCTCTCTGGGTTTCTGGTGAGCTCACACTCTTGGGTCCTTTAAAATGCCCACCGGCCTCCTGAGCCCCTGGTGGTGAAAGTGCACCTTTTTTAGGGAAACGCCCAACCTGACTTGGAAAGGTGGCCTTGGGCTCAGGAGGGTCCACCTGAGGGGGGGTTCTGGCTGGTAAAGGTAGCAATTTTACAAGAACCTGCACGCTTCAAAGCACGCTTGAGCTAAGGTCTACAGATCTCGAACCTCTAATCACCCTGCATCGATCCCTCTTGTCGGGAGGGATGAATGAAATGAAATACACCCCCCTCCCTCGAAGAAGCCCTGACACTCAGTGGGCGCTCAATAAAGGCTTGTGGAATGGATAACAACGATTCCTCCAAATTCATCTCATTAACATTCTGGCCGGTGGTTTGGGACAGGCAGCTCTCAACCAGAAACGGTGACAAACTATTGAGACGGCCTTCCGACAGCACAGGGAGATGAGCTCTGGACTCATTCCGAGTGCGCTGTGGCTCTTTCACAGTCTGAAAGAGGGAGGCAGGGTCCACCACGTGCCATGCTTCTCCAAGCGCAGGCTCCCAGTCAGAGTGGAATTTTCCTAGCCAGGCTTCCCTAGGACGGAGGAGAAATTTTCCACGTAGGGAAGCCCTCCGTGGCAGGGTTCACCATGCTTCTCTGTCCCCATCCTGGGTCTGTCTCCACAGATCGGATTCCAGATCCGTACTCGGGTGCAGGACCTGGGCCACGGCTGCATCTTCCTGGTCCAGAAGGCAGGGGCCCTCCAGGTGTGCCCCGCAGACAGCTACACCAAGAGAGAGCTGATCGAGTGTGCCCGCGCTGTCACCGAAAAGGTAAGCCACAGCTGGCCTGGCCGGCAGCCTGGGCCTGAGCCGAGGTCACGCACTGGGATCAGACGAGGGGGAATCTAAGTCCCAACCCAGCCAGTTAGCTGCCTCATCTTTTGTCCTGACCACCCAGGGACAGGGCTTGTCAGGGCACTGGATGACCCCTAGACCTTACACTAAGGGACTGAGAGTGACGATCCCATGCAGATCTATGGCCCGGAGGGTCCTGACCACCCAGGGACAGGCTTGTCAGGGAACTGGATGACCCCTAGACCTTATGCTGAGGGACTGAGAGTGACGATCCCATGCAGATCTATGATGCACAGGGTCCTACTGTGGACAGACCATGTCAGAGCCTCTGTCCCTGGCCAGGAGGCTCCAAGGGGCAGGGCTGGAGCCTCTCCTGGAGGCCTTTTGACCACAGCACCGCTATGTCTAAGGGACCCTGGTGGCACAGTGGTTAAGAGCACTCAGCTGCTAACCAAGAAGTCAGCGGTTTGAACCCACCAGCCACTCCTCTAAAGATAGCCTGCTTCCATAAAGATTTGCATCTCTGGGAACCCCATGGAGCAGCTGTCTCCTATCCTCTAGGGTCACTTGGAGTTTTTGGCTTCCTCAAGGAAGCTCCCAGGTGGCTGAGGGCTGGGCACGAATCCTTGCAGACAGGACCCTTGCAGACAGGACGGTGAAGCAGGGAGAGGGGCAGGGGCTGACTTAAAGGCGCAGGCCCATCTGTGGAAGAGAGAGCTAAAGCAATAGGCTTCCCTTCTCTCAGGGCAGCTGGTTTGAAAGAAAAGTCACGTCGTGTAGTGAATGCTGCTATGCTACATCACCTGCCCAGGGCCCCACGTCCTCATCTGCAAAATGGGACCTCAGACAATGCCTGACTCACAGGGCCGTGAAACTTCAAGGTGACGTGCTTAAAAGTGCTGGGCAGAGTGCCAGGCACCTTATCAGTTGATGGAGCCGAGCCACAGTTCTCCGTAAACTCGTTTCCGCACTGAAAGCTCCCTGGTTGACAAGGCCCCGTCCTGAAAGCCCCTCCGCGTGTGCATCCCAAACTCTCCTTTCCCCAGGCTCTTCCAGTGAGGCTGTTGGCAGGCTGCTAGGAGCCCGGCTTTGGGTGCTTTCCCTCCACCTCTTGCTTCGTGGGACACAGAACTCCGCACTGTTTCAGGAACTAGGCAACCCGACTTGAGGGGCGGGGGGGATCCCTCATCTAGAAGGCGCTGTGACAGAGGCTGCCCTGTGCAGCCCTGCCCGGGGCCACGCTAGGCGCACCCTCCAGAAGCCACAGAATAAGGAAATACATCTCTCGGCTGGAGGGAGGTCCCCTCCCCGTTCAAAGCCTGTCCTTGTTGAAGTTCTTCTTGCCAGAGTCCCCCCACGGAAGACCTCCTTGGAGGGGGCACTAGAAGGGGCCTCCAGGCTGGGCTGGCCTGACCTGCTCTGCTCACCTCAGAGGGCCCCTGCCTGGGACACCTGGAGAAGGTGGCAGCTGATTCTTGCTGCCTGTTGAATTCCCTCAGGCCACCTGGCTTAGGGTTCTTACCTGGGCTGTCAAAACAAAACAAAACAAAACCACCTCACTGCTGACTCGTAGTGACCCGCTAGGACAGGATAGAGCTGCCCCTGTGGGTTTTCAAGACTGTAACTCTTGATGGGAGGAGAAAGCCTCCTCTTTCTCTTTCTGTGGAGTGGTTTCAAAACTGCTGACCTTTTGGTTAGCAGCCCCATGGAGAACCACTTCACTACTAGGGCTCCTACCGGTTTCGTTGTGTTTACATATTTCCCCACCCCTCATCAGCCTTTGACCTGGATAACCTAGTAGGTGCTCAATAAACCGACTGCCTGCAGGCACACATTCCCCAGTGGGCAGGATGTTGCTTCTGGGCTCACCCTGGCTGAGAACATCCCCCACTCCTCCTCCCCCCACCCCAACTATCTGTCTTGGCCATGGTCACCCATCCTATGGGAATTATTTTCCAGAACTGGATTCTTCCCTTCCAGACCAGCTAGGTATCAGTCCAGTTTGTCTTCTCTTGGGGGGGGTCAGAGAAAGGGGACTGGGAAGCGGTCCCTGGACCTGGTTCCTGTGCACCTCCTGCCAGGCTGCTCCAGGCTTCTGCCAAGACACAGCAGCACAGGAAGGAGGGATGTGGTCGCTCCCTGCCCTGGTCAGGAAGCCGTTTACAGAGGTAGAGGTAGGAGGCTACCTGTGTAGTCCCCCTCTGGGCTCCAGCCACCCTGGGGCCATTAACAGAGATGGCAACAGGAAAGGGGTGAGAGACAGCCCACTGTGCACTGGATGCTGGTCCTTTATTCCTCGTGGGGGGTCCAGAAACAGTTGTAATTAGATGGAAGCATCTGTCCTCTCCGGTCCTTTATTCCTCGTGGGGAGTCCAGAAACATAGTTGTAATTAGATGGAAGCATCTGTCCTCTGCTGCAGCCTCGCCCTGCCAGACACGTTACACACCCACCCACTTATAAGAATAGTCCCATCTTACAGATGAGGAAACTGAGGCCGAGGGAGGTGAAATGGCTTGCCCCAGTCCTTGTTTCCGAGGCTCTAATAATGATGGAAGCAGCTGCTTCCCGCCGACCTTTTGGTGAGCGGCCAAGCACTTCACCGCTGCATCACCAGGGCTCCTGACGCCAATAGGAAAAACCGGGAGGGACCGATGGAGCCTGTCTGCATCCGGACCTTGTGCTGCTAACCCTTGCTGTGCTGGCACATTGGCAACAGGAGAGGAATTGGCACACCTTTTGCCCATGTCCCCGTCTCTCGTGTCCCTCTCCTCCGGCAGGTGTCCCTGGTGCTGTCAGCTCTGCAGGCTGGGAACAAGGGGACCCAGGCATGCATCACAGCAGCCACTGCCGTGTCCGGGATCATCGCCGACCTGGACACCACCATCATGTTTGCAACGGCAGGGACCCTGAACGCAGAGAACAACGAGACCTTCGCCGACCACAGGTGAAAGCGCGGGGCCAGCGCCTCCTTCCCGGGCAGGGGGAGCGTCAGGCCGCCAGCCGGGGACATTAGAGATGCTGCCCGGGGCCACGATGTGCGTCTGCGCGTTCACTTCAATAAGACGTCCGAGTGGGGAAAGTGAGCTAATAGCCAACATGCGCCCCTTTGCCAACGGTCAGCGAGGCCTTCGTTACGTTTGAGTTTTGCCCTGCATGGCCCTAGATCCAGCCCGTTAAAACAGAGGGTTTTTTCCCCTTTTCTTTGTAAAGTTTTCCCTTTCCAAGTCTGAGAGCCGTTCCTTGCTCCCTAGCCCCAGTGGACTAGAGAGTGATGGGGTGCAGGCACATGGCTAGCTTTGGGGCAGCAAGGGGCCAAGCCTGCCGCCTCTCCCTGGCTTGCTCAGAGAACGCTGGCTCTTCAGCCAACCACCGCCCCCCTCCCTGAAGGCTGGTGCCGGGCTCCGCGTTGGCTGCTGGGGATCCTCATGCAAATCCCCACCATGGCCAGCACCTAGGGCTGGACTCGTCAGGGATGCCCACTGCTCCATCGTCCCTCCTGGAACCCAACCCTTTGAGCTCTGAACTCCTGGACAAGGTGCCCCTACCCATGTGTCCTCAGGGCCCACTGTCGCTGCGAAGTATTTCCAGGGATGGTGGGAGGAGCGGGAAAAGGGAAGCTGGCTGTGATTCTGCTGTGGGGCTGGGGGCGGAGCCTCCACCCTCCGACGGTGCCTTACAGAAGACGTGAGCCCCTGCGAGCCGAGGGCCCATGCTGTCCCCTTCACCAAAGTCCTGCAGGGACTTCTTTCCTTCCTAGCGACGTGTCGCCAAGCTCAGCCCCATCTTTCTCCCCGGGTTCTCCCCCCACCCCTTCTCAGGGAGAACATTCTGAAGACAGCCAAAGCCTTGGTGGAAGACACGAAAATGCTCGTCTCCGGGGCCGCATCCACCCCCGACAAGCTGGCCCAGGCGGCTCAGTCATCCGCAGCCACCATCACCCAGCTGGCCGAGGTGGTCAAGCTGGGAGCAGCCAGCCTGGGCTCCGATGACCCTGAGACACAGGTAGGGGTGAGGGCTGGGGAATGGGTCGTCCTCCGATGCCCACGGAAGGCTGCGCACCAGGCCCCAGAGACTAAAGGCTAGCTAGGGTTCCCAAGGAAGCCGTGGGTGTCTGAGTGAGCCTGTCGTGTGGGGAGCTGGTAGGAAGAGTTCCTCTTGTTAGCCGCTACCGAGTCTGAGTCTGGCCCCATCCCAGTGGGAGGACATCCTGCCCCGTCGTCAGCCTGTTGTGACCCCGAGAGGGCTTTCATGGATCTGTCTGGTCGGCAGATCACCGGGCCATTCTTCTTCAACTCCATCTCGCTCTGGACACGTTGCTGAAACGCGCCGTCAGTGCTGGCGGTGCACGAGGAATGGAGGCCAGGTCTGGCCCTGGGCAGCATTGATCCAAGTCAGGCAGTCACATGGATGATGGTGGGGGAGCAGGGACAGAGAGAAACAGACACAGGTGGGAGACACGCAGAAGCAGGCTAGGTGGATTGAATGCAGTGAGCATTTGGAGCTGGGAGAAGCCAAAGACAACTCCCACGTTTCAGGCAGGAGCGGTCGCGGAGGTGGGTCCACGTTCCAGGGTAAGGTGCCCAGAGGAAGAGCTGGCTTGGGAGAGAGCAGCAAGGCCATGCTGAGTTAGAGACACAAATGGAACCACCACGTAGGCGTTCGCCGCTCAGTGCAGAGGTGGGAATTCAAGGATCGGCCACAGCACGGGACAGGAAAAGCGTGGAGCGGGAGGAGAGCGGGGCTTGGGGTGTGTTTTGAGAAGCCCAATGCTTAGGACCATATTAAGGAGGAATAGATGCCCGAGGAGATTGAGAAGCTCAGCGGCTGGTGGGTGGCAAGCCAGGAGGGTGGGATGCGCTGAGAGTGCCCACCTGCCAGAGAAGTTAAGAGAGCACCTGGTGTGAAGGTTGGCCATTGGCCCTAGGGCCATGGAGCCACTGGTGACCCAGCAAGGGCTCTTTGTGTGGGGTGGCAGGGCCATAGCCAGGTAAGAATGACGGAATGAGGTCAATCCTGCAGACAGCTTTTGTGGACCTTGGCTTTGAAGTCGAGCAGGAGACACTCCGCTCTCCAGGACGCACCGCTTCACATGCAGCAAATGTTCCGATGTTCCCTGCCCTGTCCATAGTTCCCCGAGCACAACCCACCCCAGGTGCTAGCCAGTAAATTCCGGTTCACACTGAGCCTTTGTCTCGGAGAGTCAAAATGCTTCCCTTAGGACTTCTGTGACCATGTGGGAGTAGTTCATTAGCTCTTTCTTCCAAAGTGCCTCTGGAGGGGGTCAAACCATCCACCTGTCTGATGGAGGGCATTTGGTGTCTGTGGCCGAGTGGAGAGGGGGTGGTGGGGGGAGCTGGGCCTAGAGCCAGGGTGGTCAGAAAGGCTCCCTGGGCCAGAAATGGTGAGAAGGAGCCAGATTCCGGGCACAAAACCAGCAGGAGAAACGACCCTGAGTCAGGATCGAGCAGACAGAAGCCAGCTTGTGAGGAGAGACTCCCTGGACCGCAGCCGGAGAGGCAGGCGGGCCTCACAGAGGCTTTGAGGTGTGGATTCGGTCTCAGTGTTTCTTAGCCACAGGTGTCAGGTCATGGATGAGGAGAGGGCTGCCTCTCGGGTGGGAGGCTCCTGACCTCACCTTTCGGACGTTGGGTGTCAGCATAGATTGCTCCCAGCTAGGAAGGGCATTTAGGACAGAGTCCCCATTCTGGCCAAAGCCCAGGCTTGCCTGGGGAGTGGGCTGTTGAAAGGATGGGTGCTGGCCCTTCCCCAGGCAATGCTACTGTGGCAGGCTGGAGAGCCATGATCCCTGTATCCTCCCATGCTGACGTCACCTGGTGCCAGCTTGGCCCTGCTCACCTGGACTCCACCCTCTTGCAGGTGGTCCTGATCAATGCCATCAAAGATGTGGCCAAGGCCCTCTCTGATCTCATTGGTGCCACTAAGGGAGCTGCCAGCAAGCCTGCTGACGACCCCTCCATGTACCAGCTGAAGGGCGCCGCCAAGGTAACCTGGGTTCCTCAGGGGCAAGCGTGCAGGGGAATGGTGGAACAGAGACGCAGGGGCAGGGGCCGGGTGGGGGGTGGGGAGCATGCACCCCAGCCCCTCTCTGTCTCTCAAAGAGAAGAGATGGTTTTGCTCCGGGAAGTAGATCGGGAAGCAAAAGGACCGGGCCAGGGCCAGTGCAGCACCTGCTCTCTCTCTGCAGGTGATGGTGACCAATGTCACCTCCCTCCTCAAGACTGTGAAGGCAGTGGAGGACGAGGCCACCCGAGGCACACGGGCACTGGAGGCCACCATCGAGTACATCAAGCA